TATATATATATATATATATATATATATATATATATATAATAATATATAATATATATAATAATATATCTCGTATATATATATAATCTCGTACGATAATACGTACGTGTGCAAAAGTTCTTGTTGGTTATAATTTTTAATATAAAAGAATTACAATATTGTAAGGTACATAGTATGTGAAGCTTAGATAATTAACAGATAATGTTATATTAAATTATAAAAATTTATTCTATTGTACTGAATTATTAACAAATAACATAAATATTACTGTTCAAAAGTTCCTGGCCACGTTTATTTCCAACAAAAAGAGCAACTTTAGACACTTTAATTCAGTAAATAATAGTCTTTCACACTTAGTACTTTGTTGTCATGCCCTTTGAAGCTATTATTGCGGCACAGCAATGAGGCATAGATTCTATCAACTGATCAATATATCACTCATCGGTATATTATTCCATTATTCCGTCAAATGCTCCAGTAACTGTGTCTTATTCGAGTGCTTACGAACTTTAACTCGGCGCTTTAATTCATCCCACAAATGTTCGATGGGGTTGAGGTCCGGAGACTGCGATGGCCAGGTTAAAATCTGCAGTTTTTTAGCCAAGAGCCAACTCTTTACAAGGCTTGAGGTGTGCTTCGGGTCGTTATCGTGTTGAAATATCCAGTTTCTTGGCATTTTGCGTTTGGTATAGTAGCAAATTCTTCTCTAAGATATTCTTGTATATCGCAGCATTCATAGTTCCATCAATATTGATTAACGGATCAACGCCATAAGCAGAAAAAACACTCCACATCAACACGTTGCCTCCTCCATGTTTTATAGTTGGAATTTGATATCTTACATTGTTTCTGGTACCAACTGGACGTCGCACATGATGTCTTCCACCACTTCCAAACAGATTAAATTTTGATTCATTGGAAAATGCTATCTTTCTCCAATCTTCTACTATCCAGTTTATGTGATCTTTTGCAAACTGTAAAGGGGCCTTCTGATTCTTCTTGCTAATTAAAGGCTTCTTCACACCGATACGCCCGAACAATCCGACATCATGTAAACGTCTTGTTACGGTTTTGTAACATTAGCGAGGTTTTCATCACGGAGTTCGCGAGCAATGTCATTTGCTGTTTTCCGCAGATTCGCAATTGACTTCATTTTAATCACGCGGTCTACTTTTTTTGTTGTTTTTCGCGGTCTTCCACTTCGCGGGCGATCCTTTAGAGCATATCGAGCACAGTACTTAACTAATATATTATTAACAGTCGACTTACAAATTCCTAATAGCTCAGCAATATCACGAGATACTTTACCACTTCGCGACAAGCTAATAATTCTTTCTCGAATTGCCTGCTGCGTCTTTTGTGCCATGATGATACTCTGATGTCTATTGATCGATTACTCTTTCGGAAATAAAGTGATAAGCACTCAGTAGAAGCATAACATAAGTAATAAACACAGTGGCCAGGAACTTTTGAACAGTGACTTATTGAAAATGTGTTTGTAAACACACTTTCAATATGTCGTGCCCGTGTTGCCGGGACACAAAGAAAAAGTTCGAGATCGGTGTTGCGGGCGTGGCAGGGTGTGTGGCGGTGGATAAAATGTAGTAAAAGTTTAGACTACCTTCTGTAGTAATATATATATAAAGGTTTATTTGATAAATACACTTGTATGTGTTTTAGTTACAACTCCCGTACTTATGAGTTAATATGCGAACCGCGCGTAAGTCACGTATGACGCGTATGTCGCGGCGAGAGACCGAGATGTTAAGCCTGACGCGAGCGGTCTCTCCGCTTTTTTATAGTATTGTTTTAGACTTGTCGGAGGGGGTGCCTGGCGACAAGAACATTACCATATTTGGTAATGGTTCGATGCGTTTGGAATTGAGGTCCTAAATGCGGAATGTGCAAGGTGGTGCTTATCGCAGCACTTGCACATCGCTTCCTTGTTGTGGTGCAATCGAAACACTTCCTCGAGAAGTGTTTCGAAAGCGCTGGTACTATTCGCGATTATAACACCCCTCCCCCCTTGGGAAAAGAAAACGGAGTGTCTAGCGAGGTTTTCGCATTCTTACTCTACATACATTTTTTCCTTTGTTTCCGTTTACAATTGTGGTTATAATCGTTTGTACTTGTTATATTTTATTATATTGTACTTGTGTTACAAATTTGTTTTCCCGTATATAAATGTAATTACAATCGTGTATTGTTTATATCTTATTCGCATAAGCTGTGTCTGCGTGCTAGTGCAGGGATTGTGGGTATTATTGGTTTAGCACGTATTCTTGTATTTCGCTGTTTCGTGTTTCGTTCTATTATTATTGGTGGGTCTGCTTTCTGTTTTATTTTTCTTATTACAATTATTACCAATATAATTACTACTATTATCGTTATTCCGCTTGGTGCTGTAGTATAAATTATGTTTTTGTAATGTGTCCAGGAGTTTGATCTATTTTCTAAATTGTAATACGTTTGTGTTATTTTATTACTGAGTTCCGCTAGTTCTGACGGATTTTGTATTATTTTGTTTGGTTTTACATGTAATATTTCGTTTTTATGTTTAATTGTGTTTATGTGTTCTTGTTCTAACGTTATGTTGTATTCTGGTATGTGTGTTTGTATTAACGTGTTTTCTATAGTACCCTGTGCTTGTAATATAATATCCTCTACTGTTAATTTGCATTGCTTTTTAATGTTTATTAGTCCTGTTTTGTTAATTTTTCTGTAATATATTTGTTCGCGACATTGGATGTGAGCGGTTTGCTCGCTGCTCGTGGAATATAGCCATGCGTTCTTTTGTGTTAGCGCGATGATAAACGTGTGATTTGCCGAGATATATTTTTTCTGGCAATTTGTTATACTTTTTAACGTTGTATACATTAGAATTTCGCACGGTGATTCTTTATTGATTCTGAATATTGCGTTTCTTTGCGGACAAGTATAATGGTTCCTGTATTTTATGCATTCAGCTAATTCGTTTTCGCGTAATATTATATATGTATTTGTTTCCTGACTAACCGCGATTTTAGTGTGTGTGACTTCAGTTAAAGCAAAAATATTGTCGTGACTGTGTACAGGAAACGGGTGTACATGGATTATTTCGTATGTTGGATAATCTATGAGAGGTAAGTTTAATATAGTGAAAATATTTTTGTCTTTATAATACGCGCTGATTGTGCAGAATTTTTCTATCTCTACCCAGTTCTCTTTTCTAGGTGTAAACGGGAAATGTGTGCCTTTTGGTACGTGTATGGATATTTCCTGTAGCTGAGATATGATACTGTCTATTGGTGTTAATCTTGTCGGTAAGTTTCCTGATTTTATTTTATCTAAATAGTAAATTATGTCGTCCTGGTCACGTACCAGATCATCCAGTAAAGCGTTTAGTATCGTAAAATGTTCGTCTATTTGTTGTCTTAATGTGAGTCCAACTTCACCTGTATAGAGTTGTGTTATACTATTCCACATTATCTTTTCGTTAGTTTCTAACGTTTTTTCGAGGTTATCAAGGTTGTGGACTGTTGTATTAATGATTTTTAATTGATTTGTCACTGCGTGTTGTAAGGTCTCTTGTTTATTTTGTAATAAGTCTATTTGTTCGGTTATTATTTTCTCGTCATTTGCGTCCATTACGCCAAATAATGATTTTGCTATTGTGCCTATTCCGTCTATTATTCCTCGTTTTGCGTATGTGGGAATTTTGTATATGCTGTGTATGAGTTCCGTCATGTTCTGTATGCGGTTAAGGTTTTTCTGTACCACTTCACGTAGATTATCGCATATTTGCCATGTGGTACTCGTCTTCTTTTGTTGATCGCAAATTTTTTCTGCGCTGTCGAGGTATCCTTGTATCTGATTTCGTCTAACATCTATTGAATGTATATCCATTTTGATGACGGTTTTCCATGTTGAAACTATTTGGTGTAATTGCCCTTGTGTGTCATAATACACACCAGGTGTGTGTATGAATTCGTTGATTTCGAATGGGGTTTCTGCTTGCAACCCATTTGTCCCGAGGCTGATACTCCTTATCAGGCTGAATGTCCTGTAAGTATATTGGGTCGGGTGTTCAGATAAATATGATCCCCTTTTCCTGTTCTGATCGTATTTCGTGTGGGATAAAAATGCCTCCTTCTTTTTTATTTCTAAGTTTTTCGTTTGCGTGGGGGGAACCTCTTGTTTAGCTTTAATTAGCTCTGTTAGTTTTATTCAGGATGTCGCCCGCTCGCATGTCCTGTCCCGCGTGTCTTGTGGTAGTGTCATTTGTATTTTGTGATTTTTTCTTTTGTGTATGGTTTTGTGGTGTGGTGTTTATATTTTGTTTGTTTATTTCTCCAGTGGGATTGCCCCTCGTGTTCGGGGTATTTTTTCCCTATGGATATTGCTCCGACGGCGCCCT